TGTATCCCTAAATACTAGCATCATTTAATTTTTGGTGGTAAACTGAGGTTTATTGATAAAAACCCAAGATAAATTTGGTTGTTACATATTTTTTATTTTCTATTTTTCTACAACCAAAAGGCTGTCTGAGTAATTAAACCATAAAGATATTTTAAAATTCTCAGGGGAAAGCTGGGACTGTACCTTAGTTGGTATAGTGCTAGTGTAGCATGCACAAAGCTCTGGGTTTGATCCCAAGAACATGTATGATGGCACACATGTAATTACAGCATTCAGGAGTTGGAGGCAGGAGGATCAGAAGATCAAGGTCATCCTTGGATACATAGGGCCAGCCTGATAGACAGACAACCATGTAACAACAACAACAACAACAACAACAACAACAAATCTTAGAATTCCACATGGTTCCACAGCTTAGTTTTCTGCACCTTACTGTTAACCAGCAACAACATTTCCTCCTGTCTAAAGACATCTCAAGTCACTGAAAATGTAAATAGGATGCTACTATTTAAGACTCAACACATGTGGTGATCACCAACAATCACACATACATTAAGAAAATGAACCATGCAACCAACTGGCTGGAAAATATACATTGAAAATGCCTTTGGTGCCTTAATAATTAGCATTCCATAGCTATAATTTTGCCAAGATTCCTGGTGACTATGACTTAGATTTATTCTTCCAAAAAGGAAATACAAAGTTGCAATTATATACCGATAAATACATGTCTAAAAGTGAAAGGCATAGCATGCAGACATCGGTTTTTAACTCTGTAGGAAATAAAGTTAAGCAAAAGTTCTATTTGAAATTAAAGAAGCCCTCATTTCTAAAGTTATCTCATTAACTGACATTTCACTAGAAGGGTCACCAATTAAGTTATTTTATAGACAGGGGAATAGAAGCTGTTTCCATGACAACAGATGGTATATACCAAGGTTTGAAAAAAGTTAGTGGAACTTGTGGTAGTCTTAATTATGCATGGAAATTGTTCATGAAGTCGATTTTTCTTTTGTCCAGGCTTCATACTAACTGCAGTTCTGGCTTTCATGGGGTTGGCTGTTGTTGAGAATAATGTATTTTTTAGGCTTCCAATTGCCTTTAAAACAGGATATTGAGAGAGGGAGATTATTAATGCTTCCCTTGTCCATTTCAAGAGCAGGACAGAGATAACTATAATGAGCAGGGATGGAGAGATGTCTCAGTGGTTGCACTTACTGCTCATGCAGAAGAGAAGGTTTGGGTTCTAACACCTCCTTAGCAGCTCACAACCATCTGTAATTCTAGTTCTAGGGTATCCAGCACCTTGTTCTGGCCCCTATGGGCACCAGACACACATGTAGTGCACATACATACATGCAGGTAAGCACTCAAAAATAAAAATATTTTTAAGGGCCCTTGGATCACCTCCACTGGCCAAGTGCAGGGTTAGTCAGAGCAGCAGACACAAGTTTTGCCCACATTCTCCTCTACAAGCCACAGCACGATTTAAATGTTATGTAAAGAAGAGAACTGGCTCATTTTCAATACCTCTGATCTAAGCACTGGATAGAGAATGCTGAGGTTTGGCAGCTTAACAAAGTGGGAGTAGGGCAATGGAGGCAGAGATTTCTATTTTAGAAAGCCCTTTATCTTCAAAGAGGCTCAAATAGTAGCACATCATGATTGGACACTTTAGACTCAATAATGCACCTTGGTCAAAAGAAGTTATTCCCTACAGACAAAGGCGAAGTTTTGCTATGAACAGGACACTGGGTCTATTTCCCAGCTTGTGATTCTATTCCTCTTTGAAGGGATCATTTGTCTTTATGAAGCATTTTGTACTTGTCCTCAACCTAGTTTTTACTTTTTAAAGTAATTTAGATGTCCACAACTTATGTTTCTTTAGAATTTAGAGTATATATTTCTGTGCCCTGAATTGCCCGTGCTTTCCATCCTCACCTTGACTTCGAGTGTGATGTGTTTAAGTTTGGGTCACATGATTTTGAATCAGAGTGCACACTGTAGTTATCCTTAGTATGTTTCTTAAGATCATTGTGAGCCTCTCTAATGTGTCTTCCCCACCTTTAAAATTCTAAGAAACCAAGATCTATGAGTGAAATACAGATACATAAACAAAAGGGGGGAAAAAAAAGCCCAGTTCCAGCACAAAAATGGAAACCACCTAACAGTGTGATACAAATATGAATTTTTTTTTGGTCTTTTTGAGACGGTTTCCCTGTAGCCCCAGCTGTCCTGGTACTCACTATGTAGACCAGGCTGGCCTTGAACTCACAGAGATCTACCTGCCTCTGCCTCCTGAGGGCTGGGATTAAAGGCGTGCACCACCACTCCCTGCTTATTCCTGTTTTCAGTTGATCTGATGGCAAGAATTTAGAATGTGCTTTAAGGAAGTTTATACATCATAGCAACGTTGCTCTGAAATATGGTTAGAGGGAGAAACTAAAGCATTTATCCTACTGAAAACTAATTGATGTAAAAGTAAATGCCTGAAGCAATAAGTAACTTTCTGGCCATTCTACAAGAGATGGCTCCAGTGCAAGAATGACCCTTTCTAGTATCTTATTCCATGCTTGTTGATATTTTAATGAAATCACAAGTGAACCCTAAGGACTTGCTTCAAGGTCTTCCATGTAAACAGTACCAATTCAGAATTAGGTTAAACTTTCAGATTTCTTTAATATATGATATAATCTGTTATGGTCTTTTTCTTTGCAGTGGTTTCTCCCAAAGGAAATTCTACTTAGTGTTGGTAATCAAGGGAAGACAATCTCCTACCTTGTCTATGGGTTACTCAAGCTCCGTGCGGCATCAGGTTTCTTTTAGGCGTTAAGTAGGTGGTCAAAGTCACAAAGGCATATTTTGTACCTATGAAATGATTTATAATCCATGATCTTTACTACTTTGCTCTTTATCTTTGACTTGGCTTTCTCTTTTCAGCTTAGTAATTCTATGTGCAGATGAATATAAGGGACTGACCTGAGTCCTTTGGCTGTGCTTGTCTTCAAAGAAAAAAAAAAAAAAATCTGTGGGTATCTCAGGGCATGACATCTCACGAATTTGTACCAGAAAATTTAGGAAAGAAGGTGTAGCATAGCTACTTCAAGATTTAGAAACATTGCTTTCTTTCTCCTGGGACAATTTACCTTCACACAGAAGGTATTTAGAAAACTAAAACCAGTGTAATGTGGGTATGTGCCTTTAATCTCAGCATTTGGGAGGCAGAGGCAAGCAGATCTCAAGTTCCAGGCCAACCAGGGCTACAGGGTGAGGTCCTGTCTCAAAGACAACAAAACAAAACAAAATAACAACAGCAAACAAAAAAACTAAGACTGGAGGGAAATTTGAAAATGACTAACTATAGAAAAGGTAAAAGTATCCCTTTTTTTTTTCTCTTTTGTTCTTTTTTCTTTCTCCCTCTGCCCCTCCCTCTGTCCCTTCTTCCTTCCTTCCCTCCTTTCCTTCCTTCCTTTCTTTGTTTCATGTATATGGAGGCCAGAAATAGACCCTGGATGTGTTTCTCAAGAGCCACCCACCTTAGTTTTTGAAATGGGGTCCTTCACTGGAACCTGAGACATACCAATCAGCTAGGATGACTTGTCAGTGATCCCCAAAGATCTGCTTGGCTTTGCCTCCCAAACACCAAGATTACAAACACTCCCCATCTCACTAAACTCCATTTTAGTGGGTGTTGGGGATCAAACTCATGTCCTTATGCTTGTGTAGCAGGCACTTACCTGTTGAGCTATCTCTGATATCCTCCCTTTTAAGGTTATGTGGTTCTTATATACTATCAGTATCAGAATGTACAAAGATTATAACTATTCACCTGCCTTGTGTGGGGATAGAAGCTCATAATAAAGATAAAGATAAAATAAGCTGTCTCTATATTTAGGTAAAGAAAATAAACAAAAGCCTAGAGTTAATAAGCAACATGAACATCTCCATATTATTTAGGCTAGCAAAACCTGACATAAACTTGCATTCAATAAACTAAACTTCTCTTGAATCATGAAAATACTTGAAGGTATTTTTGTAAAAGTAAGCCTTAGCACTTATTTTGGACTGAACTTTGTGTGCCCACCCTCCAAATGTGAATGTCGAAGCCCTAACACCTAGTACCTCAGAAAGTGATATTATTTGATAACAGGGTCTTCACATCAAGTGAGGCCATTAAGGTAGGCCCTAATCCAATATAACCAAAATCCTTGAAAAGAGAGAGAAAGAAATTTGGACACAAATACATGCATAGAGGGAAGATGTGAAGAAGCAAAAGGAGAAGACAGTTATTTACAAATTACAGAGAGAAGCCTGCAACTCATCATTTTTTTTTTTATTTCCCTCAGAAAGAATTAACAGGGTCAAAATCTTGATTTCAGACTTGGAGTTTCCATTCCTGTGAGATGATACGTGTCTGTTGCTTAAGTTATGCAGGCTTGGTATTTTGTTACAGCATCCCTAGCACACTATTGTAATGCCCAACTATCTCACGAGTGATTACAGCCATTGATCTTGACCAGGGCATGTGTTTCCCTTACTCAGGTGTTGGCATCATGCTAAGAGGCCAAGGAAAAGATGGCGTGCAAGGTCCCAGTGTGTCCAACCAAACTTACCAACAAGAATGTGGAATGAAAACACGGAGACACCAAATTTGATTACTCTCATGATTTATTAATATTCAGATTGAAAAAGGAGCCTTAGAGCCACAAGTTACGCTAATTGGCACATTTGCTTTATTTATTTATTTTTAAAACAAACCGGGTTTTTAAATTTTTTTCCTTTTTGTTCATTCCGTCACATCGAAAATGAGGAAACAAAATGGTTTTGAATTCACTTAATATTTTGGACTCCTCAGATGAACTTCGGAACATTGCACACACACTTGGAACAGAGAGAAATAGAGAGGAAAGTGGACTCCCACAGGGCCACACGCACCAGATCAAAAAACTGGGATACAGTGCAAGAATTTCCCAAAATGATTGAATCATCATTACCAAAAACTCGCCATAACAACACCAAGGAACAAAAATATTTAAGCCACACTGTTTGACTTGGGATCTTTCCTGCTTTTTTTTTTTTTTAATGTTTGCCACATAGAGAGAAAGAGGGCTAGTGGGTGGGAGGGGACAGGCTCACAGATGTGAGCAGGACAGGAGGGGATATTTCAGAGTGGAGCTGAGAGAGGGTGGGATAGACAGGGTTCAGGAGGAGGGAACGTGGAAAGCCATTTCTTAAAGTTCAGGCATGTTCTTGGTCAGCCTCACGTTCTTCTTCTTTACCCTCATCCTGCCGGGCACTTTCCTTAGGTTTGGTTTCATCTACAGCTTCTGAGGAGGAAAACAAGATGGGGGGGGGGGAGTTAGTATTTTGTCTGTGCATTTGTTCAATGGTATCATGCATTTCTTTTTTCAAAAAAGCATTAAGATAAGGAGACTATTAATCTTTCAGTAATACAATTTCCAAGTTTAGAATAGTTTACCTCTAGGAAGCTGTTCAGTAGCACATGATAAATAGCTCAGGAACAAAGATACGTTGTTAAGGACAAGTCTATTCAGTAGAAATCACTTTTTTATTTAAAAATTGTATTTAAAATATTTTGTTGTATTTGTGTGTGTGTGTGTGTGTGTGTGTGTGTGTGTGTAAATCAAAGGATAACTTCTGGGAGTCTGTTCTCTGCTTCCACCAGATACGACCCAGGGATTGAAGTCAGATCTTCAGACATGGTAACAAAATCCTTTACCCACTGCACCACCTCTCTGACCCATTACTGTGGTTTTTAACCTTTTTGCCTCACGATCAGAGCAGCCACATATGGAACACACGGGCATTAAATAGGGAATCAATAACAACCTTGTTTTCCTTCTGCTTAGTGGCAGTCAATTCATGTGTGCCATTGAACTTCCATTCTAATTATTTTACCATTTATTTCTAGTAATGTGAAGTTTAGAAGGTAAAATACTTGAATTTCCAACCCCTGTTGGAAATAGGGGTGGCCATTTAAACTGCAGTTTAATTAGAAACAAAGAGATTTTCCCAGAGAGAGTAGTGTATGTTTTTGTCCCCTTTGCCCTCCTGTTCTAGTGTGGAGAGAATTAAGCAGTTCTTGTTATTGTAGCAGCTATGTTGTGGCCATAAAGACAAGATCTGTACATGAAATATGGTAGAACAGAAAGAAAATTTGCCACATTTGGACACCTTTCCCTCGTGCTTCTCACTGTGGGAGATTAATAACCAACCACTTTAAAGCACAGTAGTGGTTTTAAACTTCTTGCAACCAAGCACATCCCAACTGAATATACTGATCCATAAAACAACTACCACCTTGCTTAATAAGGAAGATTTTGTTTCTTCATGAAGGTTAATTTCACCCTGAAGCTTTCCTTAGAGAACTTAATCAACTGATTGCTAATATTTTACCAATATGCCAGCCTATGTAAAGAGAAGTCATTTGTCCTAAAATTACCTGTTACTTACCAATAACATATACCATGGGCCCAGCCAGGACCAACCCTACATTCAATCTTTTTCAAAGACTTTCAGAACCCAGAAGATAATCCTATCTGTCGCTATAATTTATTCTAATTGAAAGACACAAAGCAATATAAGCGGGGAGAAAAATTGCATGGGGCAAAAAATGGAGAACAGATACAAGCATCCACAAGTCTTCTCCCAACAGAGCTATAAGGATGTGCTTAATTCTTCCAGCTATGAATTGTGAGAATATGTGGGAGACATTGTCTATGTAGAAAGCTCACTTGAGCCTCTGTATCTAGATTTGCACTAGGAGCTGGTTAGGTCGGCACTCTGCCTGGCAGGAACTGAATCCAGGCTCCCATAATGAAAACTGGTTTTCAATATAATCTACACTGTTTACTCAAGACTCTAGGCTCAGGAAACTACATGGGGAATTGTGAGAAATCTTCAAAATTCAAGTTCACAGGTGCTAGGCATGGATCAGTTTTATAAGTACATTTTCTAAGGACAGAAGTCCCAGGGCCTACTGTGCTAATATTTTATTCTCTGCATACTTCCTGGTATTAAAAATATCTATGCCCTAGCTGGGTATGGTGGCACATACCTGTAGTCCCAGCACTTGGGAGGCAGAAGCAGGCAGATCTCTGTGGGATCAAAGCCAACGTGATCTACATAGTGAGTTCAAGGCCAGCTGGGGCTACAGTGAGACCCTGTCTCAAAATCTATACCCTTTAAAATCAGCTTTTATTATTGCTTTCTCTCCTCTTAATGCCTACTAGCTGGTAGCCTTTCTTAGGCAGATGAACTGGAGTTCGTGGACTCTTATTAGTCTGGCATGTTTGTACTTAACTTAAAGGTAACAGGTAGGCTTTGAAAACACTAGAGCAAAAAGTATAGTATAGATATACTTTAAGGAGCTTCAACTAGCAATGCTAAATAAAAAGGACTGGTATTGAGGGAAGACACTGAGATAAGAGAAATGGGCCCCACTTAGGAGGCCATCAGAAATGCTTATAAAAATGTATGTGTCGGCCGGGCATGGTGGCACACGCCTTTAATACCAGCACTCAGGAGGCAGAGGAAGGTGGATCTCTGTGAGTTCAAGGCCAGCCTGGTCTACATAGTAAGTTCCAGGACAGCTGGGGCTACAGGGAGACCCTGTCTCAAAAAGACCAAAAAAAAAAAAAAGTATGTATCTTTCAAATGCTCAGATATAGATATACATTCAGTTAAAGCTGAAAATTTATAATCCAAATAAGAGCACCACTGTCAAATACCCTTTTGGAATTTCTTCTTTATATACATATCTAAACATTTTCATAAAACTCTTCAGTAGTAGAAAATGTTTATTTTCTTGAAAATATATGTGATTTGTACAATCAAACCAGTGTCATCTGGTAAATCATGTATATGATTAGTAATTTTACTTTACAGTGACTCAGTTATGCCTGAAGGTTTTAGTTTTATTGGTTTTGTTGAGTACACAACTCAGTGTAAGCTACATCTAAAACACAGGCATTGTAGGGACACTACCCACTGCTACTCATAAAGACTTTTAAGAATAAAGCTTTCCAAGTTGACAATTATTAACCCTTGATGAGCATTTTATCAATACGTGTTTTTAGATGAAAGGATGTCAGTTCTGGTCATAATATCCCGTGTGTCAGCTTTCTTCAAGGATTGTGGATTTTTTTGTGTGTGTTAATACATTACTTCATTCTCTTCTTACAGATTTCTTTCAGGAATATCTGTTTACAGCAATCTGGTATTCTTTTTTAATATTTACTATTTTTACTTTATGTGTATGAGTGTATTGTGGCATGTAAGCAGGTACACCATGTCTTACAGTACTCAGGGAGGCCAGAAGAGGGTGTGGGATCCCCTGGAACTAGAGTTACAGATAGTTGTCAGCTGTCGTGTGGATGCTGGGAATCAAACCAGGTCTTCTCCAAGAGAAGCCAGTGCTCTTAACCTCCGAGCCTTCTCTCTAGCCCCCAGTCTGGAATGGGAATCCATATATTTCCCAATCCTGCCCAAACCTTTAGATACCAAAAGTCTGTCAGAGGTGGTCGAATATCATTATCAACTATAAGAAACATTTTTAGGGCCTTTTTCAACTATAAAAGGAACTTAATACTGATTTAAACCACTCAGAAACATACAGAAGGGTCAGTTGTAGAAGTAGGAGAAGATTTCAAATATTTCCTGCTAAAATAAAACCATGAGAACTATTATGTATAATTTTAGGGAAATCTTGAAACTCAAGAGAAGGAGTTCTAATTGAAATCTGCTCTTATATATCATTAACAGAGTTTAAAATTCATGACCACAATGTTGTCAGTGAAAGAGACCTTTAAAATATAATTTAAACCTAAACTCCTTGGGGGCAACAACATCTACTTTTTTCAACTCTGACTCCCTAATGTCCAGTACACATTATATACCGACAGTCCTTAATGAGCACTGAACTGAAGAAAGAATAGGCATCTTCATTTCACACATGAGGAAACTGAAGTACATAAAGAGATGCTCCCTAAATTATATGGTTGCCGATGGCCAAGCCAGGACTAACTCTGAGGTCTTCGGTGTGTTGCACTATCAGGGGAACAAAGGCAAGAGGCAGAGGTCAAAAGAATACCTGTTTCACCACTTTAGCACTAGAAACCAAGTAGCTGGTGTCTGTAAACTTTTGGTGCCCTAGAAAACAGTCTTTTGTAAAAATGACTCATAAATGTAAACAGAAAGTGACAATCAATGAAATTGTTAATTATAAAAGAAGATGCCAATCATTTAGCCAATGCTTAATTCAGAGGCACACATATGTATTTTATTTTGCATGAGAGTAAGTCATTTTTCTATTTGATATAAGCTTTGAATCAAGAGGGTATTTTATTTTAGATGATGAGCTGGCTTCATGGAAATAAAAGGAGTCAAATCAGTAGAGTCAGTGAAAATTTTATAGATCACCAAGAAATGAGGAAAAGAAAGATGGAGGGAAGGCGCACAGAAAAGCTCTAGTTTTTCACAATTACAAAGCGAGGTCAGCTAAGAAAATACAATATTTTTAAAGAGATGCTACACGCAAATGAAAAAAACCAAGTTAGATGTGGGGTTATAAATACTGTGTCAGGAACCACTGTGTGGGACACTAAATATGAGTTTGTGAAAGATTCTAATTCTAAACAAAGGAGAATCTGTCACAAATGGAATCCCGGCTATTTTGAATAAGTTTATGTGAACCTGCATGCAGGAGAGAGCCTCCCATATTGCTAATATGTTTCTTCTCCCACTGATGCCAACCCTAAGTACGTTTTGCATACAATAAAACAAGGTGGTTATATTATTGTAGATCTGCAGTTTTCTCACTGTTTATTCAGCAGCCTCAGGAAGTAACTGTAAATTACTGCATTCCTGGCCCTTCGTATAAAGTATTTAGCCAAAGCTTGATACGTCTACGCTCAGAACAATTCTAAGTAGACTTGTGCCATTTCATTGGCATCCTCACAGCTACCTTGGCCATGTCATTATACATCTGGGAAGCTGAGGCAGGAGATTGAACGACGTATCTGGTCATCCACAATGGCAATGAGAGGTGGTGTAGCTGAGGTGTCATAGGGCCTGTTCAAGCAGCATCTACTTCACGTTGCCTCCTCTGCTCTTACCTTGGCCCAATAAAGATGGATGGACCCAGTGGGAGCCAGGACACAAATACAAAGGTACATAGCCTCGGAGCCTAGCTCAAAATGGTGGGAAGATCCTTGATTAGTCTTTGATAACGTGAAAGCTGACCTTGGCACACTCTGGTACTAATAATATAATTTACAAATGCTAGAGATGAGTTATTTATGTAATC